ATAGGAATAGCTCGGACCGGGGAGTAACATAGGCCAGGTGGCCTTAGTCTACCTCTTCCGGTTTCGCAGTTATGACCTCCGAGCGAAGTCTGTCTGTTCGGGGTTGGCGGCTACACTAGGTCTGCCCCGAGTCTGAAATTTGGGGTATAGGGGTAGCTCCGACCGGGGAGTAACATAGGCCAGGTGGCGTTAATCTACCACTTCCGGTTTCGGAGTTATGACCCCCCGAGCGAAGTCTGTTCGGGGTTGGCGGCTACATCTGCCCCGAGTCTGAAATTTGGGGTATAGGGGTAGCTCGGACCGGGGAGTAACATAAGCCAGGTGGCGTTAGTCTACCACTTCCGGTTTCGGAGTTATGACCCCCGAGCGAAGCCGGGTATCCTGCAAGTGGTATAATAATTTAAGATAACTGGAGAAGGAAATTTTGGACTTTTGATCTTTTTAAAGAAAATTCCGATATTCGAACGTCGCTTGCCAAACACAGCTGGGTATTTTGTCGGATAAAAAAATAAATAGCCATTAATCGCACGGACTTGTATAATGTCTGCAGAAATAATACAAAATACTAATGTCATGGTTAACCATGGTGAAAACAGGTTTGTGAGTAGTTTAAAGAGAATGGGTTAAATGAAAACTTGACTTTGGGATCAATGAAAAACAACGAACAATTCATCAGGGGTTTTTTTTGTTGTTTTTTTTTCAGACGATGAAAGAAAATCAACTCCTGATATAAGTCCGGTGCCTTCATACCAGACGGAATCAACAGATCTTTCACAGGCATCATCATTACCATGGCAACCATGGAATATACCCAAGAGTTACTTATGGTACACAAACTGGATGCAAGGAAGTCCCCCGCCATGTGCCTGGCCTGGGCCACCAACATCGTCGTTACCTTATGACAGTCAGGCCCTTGACCGACAAATTGATTGCCAGTTTACGTATAAAGACATTCCACAGAAAAATGATATAAACTTGCCGATGACTTATGCTTAAGATACTTTCCGGAACTATTTTTGAGATTGTGAATACATTATGTACCTTTATTTATTGTTAAAGAGGGACTTATTTGTCCGTTTTAATTTCTATCGTTGTAAATAATTTGTTTTACAAATAAATGTTTCTGTGGCTTAAATGTATATACTATACTTAGGGTTACTTGTGCAGTGCCCAGTAAGTTCTTTCATGTGCATGCACAGGTATACACCTATCACTGTTTTACGTCTTATCCGTGCGGCTAGATAAATCGTCAGACCAGAGGCATTCTCTATAGTCAAAAGTCCAGTCCTTGACTTTTTCCTGCGGCCCCTAGATAAGGCTCAGTGAGTATGTGTCTAGTACACCAACCAGGAGATTCCAGCTTCGATACGGGGATTTTTTAGCGTGGTTTGTCCTCTCTTCAACAAGGCGCTTGCTTTGGGAACATTGGGTTTCCCTTGTCAGCAGTGCAGGGCGAATGGCTTGGCAAGTGAAAGTGTCTAGTCGTTTGGATAGAATGGAAAACCGAGGTCCACTCGTCTACTCGTTTGTGTACATGTAAAATAACCCTTGGCAGTGGAAATTCTATACACAGTAGGCGTAACGCCGCTGTAAGGGCTAAATCGTCCACAAGGCACACGGGAAGGCATGTGGCCGTCTTCGGATAATCCATTTGGAGCAGAAAAGTAGGACGTTAACCCCAATTTCATTTCTTTTCAAAGTTGATATATATGACTATCAGTATTCAATACGAAGAAATGTCCGGAATAATCCTTCAGGGACATTTAGTAACTAGGTAATTATTATTTCCCGACCCAATTGTTTCTGTACTTGAAATGCTGAGAGAATATACTTCGAAACGTCACCAAAATAAATGAGTAATCGTTCTTAGTGCTGCGGTTTCATTCATCTGTAGGAGCCGTGGTGGCTCAGTGACTAAGACGTTGGTTCGTTAACCTAGGGGTCCCGTCTTCTATCCCGGTGTTGTCCGAGAAAGTTCATCGGATTTTCCAGCGTGGTCCCCCGCCCCCTTATCAGTGGTGCAGGGTGGTAACCCTGGCAAAGGTCAGTGAATAGTCCCGTGTACAAATTGGCGTGCACGTAAAAGAACTCTTGACAGTTGGACATCGAAGAAAGAGTAGGCCGTAGTGCCGCTGTCCTGGCAAAAATTCCCTTTGAGAGAAAGGGGGGGGGGGGTAACGTCCACTCGACACAAACTAGGCCATTCGGGGACTAACGTATGGTTCATTTTTATTTCAATAATTCGTTTGCGTGTAAGGCTCTTTAGCAGTGGGAGAAACCCGGAGGACCCGCAGAAAACCCACAAGGTTGGACAGTCGACCCTACTCCTTGTCACGTACAACCGGGGAATCGAAACCACGCCAGTGAACTCAATGACAGACCTCATGATACAACGCGCACGTGATACAACCATACGGTCATCCACCCCGACCCCGTAGCACATTGCTTTAGTAGGAGGGAGTCACGGTGGCTAAGCGAGTAAGACCCTGGCTCGCTAGCCTGGAGGTTGAGGGTTCGCTCCGATGTTGGCCGAGAAAGTTTATTGAGGTTTCTTCTTGTCAGAGGTACAGGAAAGGGGGCCTGACAAGGACAGTTGCCTAGTCGTTTGGATGGGACCAAAAAAAGATGTACACATGGAGTGCACGAAAGAGATCCCTTGGCAGTTGGAATTCGATATAAGAGTAGGCCGTAGCGCCGCTGTGAGGCCAAATTTCCCTCAGCACACTGTATGGCGTATATTTGTCTTCATTAGCCCAGTTGGAACAAAACAGTGTACATTTTCTTATCATATTTTAACCAGTTTTCAAAATTAATTTCGTTGATAATGTGTAACGAAGTTCTTTGTTTTTAACTGCATGGTTGTTGTCTGTTTAAGAACAATGATAATCGTATAATCTGTCTAATAATGGATTTATTGATCCTGGAAGTCGATCTATAAATAATTTATGCTCTGATTGATCAAGGTATGTTGGTCTGGGTATATATATAGTAAGTACTCATCTCTCTATTGAAACAATATTGACCTCAATGTTCAGTCAGAGATGGTACAAAAGAAATCAATATTTTTTTTCTTTCTGCCGATAGGCCTGCGAGACATCGTCGCCAAGACAATGAATACAGGGGCGGATCCGGGGGGGGGGGGGGTCGAAACACCCCCCCCCCCCCTGCTCAGCTACATAATTTTTTTTTGTAAATCAACACTTTTTATGAGAAAGGTTTCTCGGCCGTGTGCTTTATCCTTTATCGTCAGATTTGGGACAGGATAGGCACTCAAAGCACGAGATAATGATATAGACATTATGTGATATCACAATTAATGCTTTGCATCCATGAAATTGAATCACAATGTCATTGTATTAATTCATAATAAAAATTGACGTCAAACGATGTGTTGAATTTCTCTGTTTAAAAAGCTCAATGTGTATGTATATACGCCAAAATGACGATAGAGACCATGCGGGAGGGGGTGGGGAGATACATTGTCTCAGGAACATGACACCCCCCCCCCACCTGCAAAAATTCCTGGATCCGCCCGTAAGTAAAAGATCTATTGTCCCACAAACATGTGGCACGTATATTTTTTTTGTGTTTCGTGCAATATTAGATATAAATCCGTTGTTGGGTGTAAATCATTTATTCCATTGTCTATATTTGAAATCAATATAGATCATTATTCCGCGATGGTATTAGTCGACCTATTTACTATAATAAGCTCATTGTCCTGATTTCCATTCATTTTAACAGTTGGTTTGGTTAGATGCAAATACCCGAAACAAAGGTTTTTCGTTATATAATATAAGTAGGGCTATGGTGTTCGATCATGTGATCGAGTAAGCGGAGTCAGTGTAATCAAATACCTGCAAAAACAGTCCCTTTTTCGCTTGACCGGTCTTTAACCGTTTGATGCCCAAATTTTGCACAATTATCCAAAAAATATTCCATATAATATGCTCTATATCATAAAAAAAAATGTTGAAAGAAATTTTGAATTGTGTTGTTATACCATATTATAGTACTCGTGAAACAGACCAGATGAAACAGCCCGGGGTGAAACGGTTTGCGGATGAAAAGACCTGATTCCGTACGAAAACAAATAAAATATCCAAATGAAAATGTTATTCAATAATCACTTAACACTGTTTAGTAACCGAAACATAAAGAACAATTTGGTGAGAAATTTAAATGAAATTATTTATGAATTTTTCATTGTGAAACTCAACAAAAATGTTGATTGAAAAAAATTATCCAATAATTATATCAAATTTTCAATAAAAAAAAAAGTCCAAACCAATTTCTACACCAACAATCAAAATATGTAGTGTGTATTGTTAAAAAACTTGATTTTTAAAAGAAAATATTTTGTTTTTTCTTTAAATCGTCATATCAGATCATAAGCATGCATATTATGTGGACTAAGCTGCTTGTTAACGCTCTTTGAGGAGAATCTACCGCAATAATATTGAACTGTTTTTGTCTTTGTAATTAAGTCGAAAAATGATCAAAAATTTATGTTCAATACGGATCAATCCCCGGTATATAATCTAGACTATGCAGCTGAGGAATTGTCTATTGTTTGTTCGGACTGTAGGCCCAACAGATAGCACACCTGTGTATTTATGTCCCAGGTTGTGAGCTCTGTTACACCAGGCATATATTATTGTAACTTACTCTAACCGCAGTCTTTTACTACGCAAAACTACTTCTCAGCTTCTTTGTGGGTTAGCCTACTTATAATACTTGCAGCTTATATATTAATCTAGGCTTAATTTGTTAGCTCTCCTTGGGGATCATCGGTAGGCGTAGTGCATAAGCAAATTGACAATAAGGGTGATTCACAATTACTTATAAGGTGGAAACGGACACACCCTGACGAAGAAAACGGACTTACTTTCGCGTTACTGATGATAAGTGCGTTATTTCGGAACAACAACAGCGTTCAAAGGGTTAAAGCGGATGAGACGTGAGATACAGAAATAGGACTGGATAGATCAAGACTACGGATAGCAACATGGCGGACCTTGTTGACGTTTCCTTCCCAGTTGAAGGTATTCTTCCTAAAAAAGAAACTTGTGCTGATGCCTTTATAACTAAATATCCTGAATGGAATGGCGATGGCACCCTGATAGCCATCTTAGACACAGGTGTTGACCCAGGGGCTGCTGGTTTACAGGTAATAGCACATCTCTTGGAGACAAGTTGATGAATTGCAATTTTTGATTGACATTAATTTTGTTTTATTATTTATAGATATACAATGACATTGACTCACTATTTGGCCACATGTGGTACTGGTAGGATAGCTACGTAGCTAAAAACGTTGAGATATACTGGTGTGCTTGTTTTTAGCACCGATTGGGTGCCTTTAGTTCCAAGTGGCTAACCCTGTTTCTTTGTGACATCTTAAAAATAAGATAGATAGGCTAATTGACGATCATGTTTGATCCAACTCCCTTTTCCATTTCCATCACTTTTACACCGTAAAACTAGCGGTTAGTCGTCAGTACTGTATCCACATAGAACTTCCTACTTTCTATTAGGATTAGGTTTAGGGTTACGGTCAGGTATTTAAGATTAAAATGCCAGATAATTTTATACTATTATGACTACCGGTACCGGTAATTAGACGTACACTACAGAGGCCAATGTAGTGGCACAACTATCGCCTAACTCCAAATATTAGCGTTTAAATTAATGAAGCGTTGTTCTTATCCGACATACACCGTCATACATCTCCCATTTAAAAATGGCGTTCCTAGTAACTTAAGGGCTTATCGCCTCGATTTTAAATACGATGATTTATACCTGTTTCAGGTAGGATTATATGCCTTATTCTAGTTGGATGTGGCAGAAATATTATAAAAAACAAGAATCAATTGTCGTTTTGATGAAAAATATTGTCAATTTTGCTTACTGAGGCCCGATGTGATTTGCGTTGGGCTTTGCTACGTGGAACTACAATGTATAGCACCATGTCTTATCTCGAAACACAGGGTTGAGAGATGAGGTTTGTTATCTAGTAGTAGGACAATTCAGAGACTATTTGCCAGATGTGGCAAGTCTCTGAAACGCAATTATCAACCGATTTCAATGAAGCTTACAAATCATGGTAACAGTAATAATATCTCCGAGTGGCCAAAATTTCAAGCACTTCCGGTCAGCTGTTTCCGAGACATGGTATTACGACACATTTCATGTAGCACGGCTGCAGACCGCAATTACCAATTGATTTTAATGAAACTCATACATTATCATTACATTAATAATATCTCAGAGAGGCAAAGTTTTAGCCACATCCGGTTAGCAGTTGCCAAGATATCAGCTTACCACACATTTCATGTGGCACAATTATCAACCGACGGGACAACCGATATCCCTGAAACTTACAAAGAGTAGCCAAAATTTTGACCACTTCTGGTTAGTGGTTTTCAAGATATCAGGTTACCACACATTTCATGTGGCACGACTACAGACCCCAATTACCAGTTCGGCTGGGGTTATTTGCCACATGTGGTAAGACAATTCAGAGTCTATTTGCCATATGTGGCACGTCTCCGAACCGCAATTATCAACCGATAACCACAAAACTTAGAGAATATGATAACATTAGTAATGTCTCAGATTAAGCTGTAGTTTTAGGAATAGTTGGTATACAGATTTTGTAATCACTCGAAATTCAGAACCTTGTATACTAAATTCAAAATGTTCCAGAATGCTGTTTCTTATATTACAGACAACTCCAAGTGGTAAACCTAAAATTGTAGATCTTATTGATGCTACAGGCTCTGGAGATGTTAACACATCATGTGTTGTGGAAGCACAGAATGGCGTTATTAAAGGGTTAACAGGCAGAAATCTTCAGGTACCATACTTATACATTCAATAGTCGAGTGATAAAGACCCTAGGTTCAAATCCTTGTGTGGGCCAACAAAATTCTGGATTTTTTAATTAGCCCAGTTTCTGCTTGTCAGAGGTTGCTAAGTAAAGCGTTGCACATCCCTTAAAATATTCTTGAAATAACTGTGTGTGATTAGTATGAATGATCACAAATTGTATGTACATGCCAGAAAGTCATGTTGATGAAAGCTATCATTTAGATGTTCCACCTTCATAGCAAACACTGGATACATTACTACCGGTAATAGTACTCAAAACATAATTGCAGCGAGGATGCCAGTTCTCTATAATTTTAGGAATCATACATTACATGTACCTAATTTGACTGTGGGTTTAATTGAAATTAATAATTAATCATTCATTATAGATTCCAGCATCATGGAAGAATCCAACAGGACAGTACCATATTGGTACAAAAGTTCTATTTGAGTTGTATCCTAAAGGTCTAAAAGATCGTATATTGAAGGAACGGAAAGAACAACAATGGGATCCACAACATCGAGTAGCACTGGCCGATAGTATTAAACGATTAGAAAATTTTGATAATAAACACAATGGCAATTCTAATTTGGTAAGAATATATTAATGTTACAGATCCATAGAGTGTGTATTACTAGTATTAATCCAAATAAGACCATTCTTTTATATGATGGCTGATCAAGTAAGACAAATACATGGTCATGCCCCTTATAAATGTAATTGATTTTATATAATACCATATTACAAATAACCCTAGATTCACCTAATTAAACAAAATTCAAACAATTGTTTACTATGATAAAAAAAATCACAAGAGTCGACTGAACTCCTTGAAAACCACTGCAGGTTATAGTGTACGACTCGTAATAAATCTTAAAACATCTGTATCTCAGGGATATATTGATGTACTTTTCTCATAGTTTTTATACAAACTATACCAAGACTTAGAGAGACTACTTGAATAAAAAAAGCATATTGCTTTTGTAAAGATACTTGGAAATTTAAAACGGAATAGGCTTCAAGTCACTGTGTATACTACATGTATATTCCCAGTATTGGTATTTAATTTTAACAAACTCTTATCACTGTTTCAGTTCCATGTGCATGTATAGGGATTTAAAAAATATATATGCTTGATAAAGTTCCTTTTGGACATCTGTATAATATGATTTCTATCTTATTGTGTGTTGCTTACAGCATCTTAAATGATAAATTCTTTTCAAATAAATTTGCAGTCACCAGAAGATAAATGTATTCGTGAAGATCTTCAGGCACAGGTAGACATTTTGACAAATTTCGACAAGAAATCTGTTGACGTTGGACCAGTTTTTGACTGTATTGTATTTCATGATGGAAACACATGGAGGTAATTATAGCTTTTCCCATGAATCCTAAGCCATTAAAGTTTTTTACTAATTACTAATGATACATTGCTGATTGATTATTTTGTTATTATTCATGCATGCTAGTATTTCAACTCTGTTATATTTTATGTTTTTTAGAGCGTGTATTGATACAAGTGAAAAGGGTGAATTAGATCAATGTAAATTATTAGCTAGTTATAGAGAAGAACATGAATTTGGTCGAATAAATAATTCAGGTATAATATCTAGTTAGTAGAATGATAAAAGACAACTTTGCACATTGAATTTTTTTAGATGTTTGTGTATTATCTAATTATACCAAATACTATATTCAAGATGCATTATGTAAGATATAGATAAATAGCTGGCCATTCTTGCTTTAATAGTTCAAAAATAGATAATGCAAAATCAATATATTAAAAATTTCTTTCAAATTACTTTATTCAGAGCAAAGTTATCACTGTTTGAAGTTTCTACAAAATGTGTGCATAGATTGTTTATTATTCGAGACTTAGTCTCGCTTTGCACTTTTTATATTAAATCAATAAATGGCGATCATATTTCAATCCATTTATATCTCCACCACCCGATGTTCTAGAGAGTTGATTATAGGCTTGTTTTGTGAATGAATGTCTAAATAATATTTTCTATAACTTTTGAAGCCAAAATAAAGATCTGCAATAGGCAGATTTAGTTCTTACATAATGCATCCTTAATGTTTAACATTAGTTTCAATTTGCTAGGTATATTTGAATGTGTGTTCCTGCCTTATATCATTAAGAGAAAAACTCTCTAATAATAGTAAGTTTTAATGTGAATTGCATACCTGTATTTATTTATTTTTTTTAGACATGTTGAATTATTCCGTGAATATACATAATGATGGGAATGTTCTTGAGATCTGTGCAAATGCAGGTAGGTAGCATAATGTATGGCTTTTGATTGGTATATTAATCAACATCTAGTTATTTTTTTTTTAAAAAAATGCAGACTCCTTTAATAATAAGTTTCTTAGAGCTTAATTAGGTCATCTTTTTAACCCACAAAACTTACTTTAGTCTGAAAGATTGATGTTTTTAATGATCAGGAAGATATAAATGTAATGAAATTGGCCCTTTTAAAATTTTCTTATAAAACATAGAAATCTCTTTAATAAAGTCAATTGATGTTATATCTGTAGGATCCCATGGCACACATGTAGCATGTATAACAGCGGGTTATTTCCCTGATAAACCAGAGAGAAATGGATTAGCTCCTGGGGCCCAGATTATCGGTGTGAAGATTGGTGATAGTAGACTAGGTTCTATGGAAACTGGAACAGCCTTAGTCAGAGCTGTAAGTATGGTTGAATAAATCCAGGTTTTTTATCTAACAGAATGCTGGAAATGATCAAAGACTTTTCAGGAGACATCAAAGATGCTTATTTTAATTGTTTGATTAATAGCGGGAGTTGATTGGTCAAGGAGTCTAATGGGTGTGTTTTGAATTATAACATCTGTCATTGATTCAAGTGGCACGGTTTTGATCCCAAGCTTATATGTGACAAGTAGTAGGGTCACTCGCTCAACCTCACAAGCGAATTATTGGAATGAAATTGTACCATGTGTTTGTCACAAAATGACCTACTTTGTGTCAATTGGACATAAACCCCATTTCTATTGTTAATTAATAGTTGTGCTATGCTAGATTATATTCCAGATATTGATAATAATTAATGTTATTGAAATCGTAATTATATTTCTTTATTTCAGATGATAAAAGTAATAGAACATAAATGTGATTTAATCAACTATAGTTATGGGGAAGCCTCACATTGGAACAATTCAGGGTATTGATTATTACACTACTAAAGGTTTCTCTGACAAGTCTCTAACAGATTTTGGGGAGTTGGGTGGTCTAGTGGTTTACATGTGCAGGTAAAATCACAAGGTCTGTCATTTAGTCAAGTGGCGTGGTTTCGATTCCCTTCTTGAATGTGACAAGGAGTAGGGTCGCTTGTCCAACCTTGTGGGTTTCTCCAGGTCCTATGGTTTCCTCCCACTGCTAAAGACCCCTACACGCAAGAAAATTTTTGAAATGTTAGATCCGGAATGACCTAGTTTGTGTCAAGTGCTCTCTCTCTCTCTCTCTCTCTCTCTCTCTCTCTCTCTCTCTCTCAATATATAATCTGCCCAAATACAAACTCTTCCCACATTAAATGAAAAGGGGTTTTACTTTCTGCACGATTCATGCTAATGAAAACTCTCATGTGCGATGAGGAAAATTATTTCCCCAACAGCAGCGTTTCCATCTACGCTTCATCAAATTCCAACTTTTAAGGGTTCTTTTACATCCATGACAACATGTAGACGGGACCTCAGTTTTTCGTACCATCCAAATACTGTTCATTACCAGACTATCTGTTCTGCACCACTGACAAGACTGGAAAATCTTGAAGATCCCCTTGAATAACCTCAAATTATTTATTGTCATATAAAAATTAATTATTGTGGAGTCCTGGTCTGTTTATATGTTTCCTTATTTTGATTATGTGACTATAATATTTTTGGGTTTTTTTAATTAAAGAAGAGTAACTGTAGTGTATTATATTTTATTACTTTATTACAGTAGAGTGTGTAGTATATTATTATATTTTATTACAGTAGAGTGTGTAGTATATTATTATGTTTTATTACAGGAGAGTGTGTAGTATATTATTATGTTTTATTACAGTAGAGTGTGTAGTATATTATTATATTTTATTACAGTAGAGTGTGTAGTATATTATTATGTTTTATTACAGTAGAGTGTGTAGTATATTATTATGTTTTATTACAGGAGAGTGTGTAGTATATTATTATATTTTATTACAGTAGAGTGTGTAGTATATTATTATGTTTTATTACAGGAGAGTGTGTAGTATATTATTATATTTTATTACAGTAGAGTGTGTAGTATATTATTATGTTTTATTACAGGAGAGTGTGTAGTATATTATTATATTTTATTACAGGAGAGTGTGTAGTATATTATCAGAAGTTGTAACTAAACATGGTGTGATATTTGTATCTAGTGCTGGTAATAACGGACCAGCGTTATCTACTGTCGGTACACCAGGGGGCACCACTCATGCCATAATAGGTTTGTAGCCTAATTACTAGCTTATAACACTTCTATAGAAAATTACAGTTCACAGAACAAAATGATTTTGAACCATATTCCTTGGACTGTGCCCCAAACTATGATCAGGGTGAATCATGTCTACCAAAAAACATTTACATAAAACCCTGCCTGTGGAATGAAAACCATTTTCCCTGCTGTTCACATGATTTTAATAACAGTATAATACCTTTTACCAGTGTCCCACATATCAAGAGTTAATTTTGTTACATAATCTTAATTCTGATATAATTACAGGTGTTGGTGCTCATGTTACTCCATCAATGATGGCAGCAGAATATTCTCTTAGAGAAAAATTACCATCAATGCACTATACATGGTCTTCTAGAGGTCCTTGGTAAGATCTGCCAACATTTCTATATTTATAAATAGTAAAAAATTAGCTACAACTGTATTAATCTGTTAAATAGACATAAGACACATACCGCATGTACAAGGTGACTGACATACAAACTCATAAAGAATTGAAATTCCTATTGACTTAGACTTCCTAATACCTGAAACCTAATTACTTATTCAGTCATGATGTTTTAGACAAATTTATATTGGTTTTGGTGAATTCAACAAGATAGCGTTTTCTTTACTCAGACTGTTGAAATCAAATCATTTAGATAATTAACATTCAAGATTAATTTGTAAAGACTGTTTCAATTTACCATTTTAGATTCTTTTAATTAATGATTTATGAAGAGTTGGACACTAATAAAGTTGGTTTTCTATTACCTTGTTTATGTGAAAGCTTGATTTTAATACACAACTTCCTACATTTTTTTCACTCTTTATTTGGTAGTTAAAATATATTTTTAGATTTTGTTATGGGTTCCTTTTTCAGCCATGATGGTGCTTTGGGTGTTTCAATAAGTGCTCCTGGTGGTGCAATAGCATCAGTTCCTAATTGGACTTTACGTGGCTCTCAGTTAATGAATGGAACGAGTATGAGTTCACCCAATGCTTGTGGTGCTATAGGTTGGTTTATTGTTTAATATCAATTAATGCTTTATTGTTAAAGCTTTTTATCTTGATGATATTGAAATTCAATGCAAATTATGACAATTCAAAATAATTTTTTTTTTTTTTTTTTTTTTTTTTAGCACTTCTTCTGTCTGCCCTTAAAGCTAAAGATATAGAATACACACCATATAGTGTACGTAGAGCTTTAGAAAATACTGCTAAAAAAGTGGATGGGGTTGAAGTCTTTGCCTTGGGTCATGGAATAGTTCAGGTAGAGTTGTATTATTTAAATTATATAAAAAAGATACTTTAACTTGCATACATGTACATATAGAATCCAGTAGGGTGTACTGTCTACTGGAAGAGATACAGTAACATGACAGCCAGCAGGCAATAATTACCTGAGCCTGCTCAGTTAGATCACCATTTGATAGGGTGCAAATATATTTATTTGTTGGTGTAGAAGATCAGAAATGGTGTTTGAATGTATGTGTATATTTATATGTATATGTGTATATTTATATTATAGGTAGAGAATTGTTTGAGTATATGTGTATATTAATATTATAGGTAGAGAATTGTTTGAGTATATGTGTATATTTCTATGTAGAGGATGTGTTTGAGTATATGTTAATATTTATATTATAGGTAAAGAAGGTGTTTTCGGAAATGTGTATATTTATATGTAGAGAAGATGTTTGAGTATACATGTATATTTATATTATAGGTAGAGAAGGCGTTTGAGTATATGTGTAGTACTGAGTGTAGTATAGAAGATAATGTACACTTTAATATAACCTGTCAGGGTAATAAACATGGTATATATATTAGAGAAATGGAGAGACATGGTAGACCTATAGAAACAGCAGTTGTTATTGAACCTGTCTTCTTAGAGAGTAAAACTGGTAAGTGCCAATAGTCATATAATATATGACGCTGATTGTACATTAGGCTATACAAAAACGTATTCTGGCACTCCGATATCCCCGTGTCACTTATAAAGAGCAACAGACTAAATTCGTTATTTGTTTGATTGCTGGAGAAAGTCAGAATTTGTGCTTGACATTGTCTGTGACAGGTTCCTTATTTCCAGACTTGCATGTAGTCCTAAAATTAAACAGTTTATGCAAAATTTCTTTGTAATAGTTCCAGATCAAAAGATAGAGCTGAGTCTACAACTTAGTCTACTATGTGAAGAAAGTTGGGTTGAATGTCCAAAACATTTAGAATTAATGAATACAACTCGACCTATTTCTATACGAGTTAATTCAAGTGGTCTCGCTGCTGGTGTACACTATACAGAGGTAAACTATTATTTTGATATATCCACCATTGTAGGTCTGTCTGCTTGCTCACGGTCTCAAGTCAGGATTTAAAATTTACATCCACATTATTAGAAATATTTTGTAATTCATCTAAATTAAATGTCTTATTCCAAAAATAATATCAGAATTTATTTTGTTATAACAAAAACACATGCAATTTGCTCATCTTGTTTTGTGTTAATTTAAAGATTTTAAGTCAACTCCCATATCTTTTTACATGAATTAAATAACGTACTGTTATTTCTTCTTGTAGGTATGTGCATATAATGTAAAATGTGTAGCTAAAGGGCCATTATTCAGAATACCGGTGACAGTTATTGTTCCTGAAAAGTACGTAATATTCCTTAACATTTTACATCCATATCACCCGTATTTAAACTGAGTTTTACCTGAAACTTTAGGATTGGTGTTGTGGTTAAATATTTACCGGACTTTTGCGATAAAATTTACCAAGAATGATACTATCTCTGAAACTAGCTTCAGAAAGAAGTTATAGCTTATATTTGTCTCAAAATACCATATTGTTGTGTTTCATTTGTGTGATTTGTTAGTCCCAGGTAATTTGTCATGTACATTTGAGAATAGAGATGACATTGTGTTCATGTAAATTGATTGTTCTCTGTTATCGAGGTATAAATCATGGTTAGATACAGCCACCTTAAAAAGAGTTTTTTAAAAACAATTTTTTATGAAAGAAGTAAACCAGGTGTTTTTTTCTATCATGTCTAAAGGATAACAGATGAAGTAAATTATAGTTTATCTTATAAAGAAGTGACCTTTAAACCTGGCCAGATCCACCGTCATTTTATACAGGTTCCTGCTGGTGCTTCATTTGCAGGTGAATTGTATATTATTTATTTTATGGATATATTTAATTAGATAATGACTGGTTGTACTTAAATGAGTATACCTGAATAAAGTTGAAAGGTCACAATATATTCATCATTCATGTAATGATCACTTGTCAACTATTCAATCATTGTCCATATGATCAATTGCTGCTATCTTGTAGTATTCTTGTAAGAAATGATCTTGTCCTTTAGAATACTTCGCAGTCTGATTAACATACACCTCTAAACTGGTTTTTGTGAGAGGTCACTCCAGGGTTCATACAGGTGAACTGTAACTAAATGATGTAGACTATATTTAACTTTTGTTTTGTTTTGTTTGCACAACTGCTCAATAAGTGACTCCCAGAATTCTGTGAACCTATCACAAAGCTCAACTGAAAAGACCATTTCTTTGGTTAAGCTTCAGCATCAAACAAAAGACAGTTTATTTAGTAACTCTACCAGATCTATTGAAGATAAATACACCTAAATTTTGGCTATATACAACAAATCGAATTAGGATCTGTGTTTTAATTAGATTGAATAACACAAAGGATAACACTGTATCTACCTTAGACACATATCAATAAGTTACACATACATTTAGAAAGAAACATAAGTTACATATTTAGATAGAAAAATAAGTTACACATTTAGAAAGAAAAATAAGTTATGACTAATGTGTAAGCTTAGTGGTTTTTTAAAACTGATTGTTGTTTTTGTTTTTTTCAGCTGTTAAAATTCAATCTAAAGACAATGAAAAAAGTTGTAGAATAATGATACATTGTTTACAGATATCACCACAGACTCAATATAAAACACATGAGTTTGAGAAATTTGTTACCCTTACAGATCAGGGGGATACCACTCAATCATTTTCAGTCCTGGTAAGAATTGACTTTAGTGTCTTCAAAAATTCTCAAAAATAAAATAAAAATGTTCTGTTAGGTGGAAGATTATGAATTTTATTGTGATTCTGTGTGTTTAGAATTTGACTTCGACATGTTTGGTAATTAGATATGGTTTAGCAACCCATTATTTCAATAATTCATTTCCACACAGTTGGAGGAAGCTGGAAAAAAAACCCTACTACTTGTCACATGCAAGCATTGAATTAGAACCACGTCACTCAACTTAATGACAGACCTTATGATGTAAAGCATACCCCTTCAGCTCCCATTATAGGTTAAGAGAGTTTGTCAGATCGTACCATATTTTCTTTTGATCCAGGATATGATCCTATAAAAAAAGTTTCACATCCTTGCCTTCGATTTTACATTCAAATCAAAATTCCTCCAAAGCAGATTTTATGACATGTTTATGTACAACCCTTTCAGAAACAAAATTTTTATTTGTGAAGATTGAGCAATGAAAATACTTTATATAAGAGGTATTGATTGATGTTTGTCTAGATGTAATATTGATTGACTATTTGTTTTTATTTATAGCCAGAAGTAACATTAGAAGTATGTTTAGCTAAATGGTGGGCTAATCTAGGAACCGTAACTCTAGATTACTCTGTTATATTTTATGGTGCTCAATTAGATGTGATTAGACCAGTGATGGTAGGTTAAATATATAACCAGTGTTTTATCTCTTGTGAACATTTCATATGTTTTATTTAGTATTAGCTTTTGACCCAGAGTTGCACAGGTTGAGCCCTGAACCACAAGTAATATTGTCCTAAAACGGGAAGTGGTACTGCAATGCCACCAGGCCTATGTCACTCTCTGGCCATTATATCCCATATTTCAGCCTCAACGGCTCAAGCTTAACTGCCAAAACCCTGGACATATAAATGACAGTCATAAATATATATATAGATCAAATTGTAAATTAATTGTTTTGGGTGTACATATTATACTACAAAGATGAGTTATTTAGGTTTCACGGGCAGTAATCATCATTGCCGAGTCTGACAATTATAACCCCATGAACACCAAACACTCGACATTCAATTGCTAATTGAATGAGATATAGCCATCCCACAAAAAGAAATCTAAATGAAACCAACAATTTTATTTTTGACCCATATTGGTCAAGTCTAGTCTATTTAAACAGATTTTGTTTCAAATATTTCTGAAGTATAAAATCATCATAAAATTATAAGAATAGACTATTGACTTTTGGCATCTGTTAGAATAGTCAGTCTTTCATCAGTGCCAAATTAAAGAAAAATTCAAGATCCAATTGTAATTTAAAAACTTTATTCGTTGAGGAATGTTAACATACACAAATCCCAATTCTGGGCTTATTTCTGAGCAATATGTCAGCAAACAATATTTAATTGAAAGAGATAATAATTAGTTATTATATATTGTATATATTATAGCATGCTGCTGATGGTATAACCAGATATAATATTAGAAGTTTATTAAAACATGAAGATGCCCAACCATCAATCCAGTTAAAAACATTAGTTCAGCCTGTCAGGTATATTATTAATTACCTTACATCACAGTCAGAGGTTTGTCATTGATTAAAGTGGCTTAGTTTCGAGTCCACACTTGTACGTGAGGGGATGGTGTCGGCTGTCTGATCTCATGGGGTTTTTTGGGGTCTTTCAGTTTCCTGCTACTGCTAAAGATCCCTACATATGCAAGAAAATTATTAAAATAAAATTGTACCACATGTTAGTCCCAAAATGACCAATCCTTGAGTGACATTTAGTGATTGAGCACAATAAAGACACTGCCAATATTTATAATTGATACAATCACTGGTTTGTACAT